TCCAAGCAAATCAATAATTATAGTTTGATTTTTAGCGTTGCGTTTAAAATTTACCATTTTACTTTGTAAATATTAACGTTGTTTGTATAGAAATTTAGTAACTGTAGTTTATATTTTTTATACACTGATAAAAAAATTGACTTGACTCAAGAGCCAAACTCTTGAACCAAGAATACCATTTTGAAGAAAATGATTTTCTTAAGTCAAGAGAATAAATTCTTGAATTAAGAAATTATTCTTGATTCAAGTAAATATTTCTTGTCTCAAGAATTTATTCTCTTGGCACAAGAAAATCAGTTTCTTCAATATGGAATTCTTGGTCCAAGAGTTTGGCTCTTGAGTCAAGTCAATTTTTTTATCAGTGTATAAAAAATATAAACTACAGTTACTAAATTTCTATACAAACAACGTTAATATTTACAAAGTAAAATGGTAAATTTTAAACGCAACGCTAAAAATTAAACTATAATTATTAATTTGCTTGGATTTGTAAAATATATATTTTAAGAGTAGAATTTTTACTGTTTCAAATGTTAAATTCTCCGATTATGAGACCTTCCCCTTCTCCGCATAGTATAGACTATATATTGAAACGGCAATTTTTATTGTTTGAAACTGTAATTTTTTAAGATGAAAGAGTCGTTATTTACTATAATAACAGCTACTAATCACATTTTCGATATTAAATTATAAATTATGGCTTTTACACTTTCTACATTAAGTTTTGTAATATTAACATTTGTGCCACCCCTATGTCCGCTGTACTGTTTGAAACTATAAAAATTAACTGGAATCCGAGTGAATTTTACAGTTTACTTTTTTAAAATTTTACTTAATTTTTTAACTTGTTTTTTTTAATAATCTTGTTCACTTATTTTGTCTAACATTAATATAAAATAAAAAATAAAAATACCGAGACATAAATCGTATGCATGTGTGTAAATAAATTTTATCGAAATGAAATACATGAATATGCGCGTACCTCAAAATTATGAGGATGAGGAATAGTTATAGTTAGTATATTATAGTAGGTTCGTTGTGAGAGTTGCGAGGGTTGTGGGGAGTTAAAAGCAAGAGAGGAATAAATTTCTGAATAATTCATACGATGATGGCTGGCTCAGACCTAACATAGAGTTCGGTATCAGGACAGAGTGCGGCACACGCTTCATCTGCAAGTGTAAAAGGTATCATTTGATTATGCATCCCCTGGTGACTCGTTCGTTTTACTCGTTCTACTAGTTCTACCTACTCGATTCCATACTGTCCCCAATACTAACTTTATCTTTTCAAAATGTCAATGTCGCTTCTGCCATTGCTATTGCTATTAAACTACCCATACATCCATTCATTCCCATTTACATATGCATAATATATGTATTTAAACGTAAATATCAAATCCATAAACTCCGTGTCTCTCAACAGTACATAACCTGTGATTTAATTACAATTCACAATTAATTGTAATGCCTAAATAATTATTTTCGTATATATATACATACACAACATATAGGTAGTATTTTTTTTTTTACTATACAAAAAAAAACTTTTTGCACCAAGAAAATTTTAAGAAAAACAAAAGTTATTTTGGAGCAAGAAGAAATTTTCTTGGCTTAAGAAACTTTGACTTTATTGAACAAATTTTCAATCTTCCTTAATATTTTCTTGAGCTAAGAAAATTTACCCTCCAATCAAGAATTTTTTTTTCAGTGTATCTACTGTTAAAAAAGTTTATCGAGAACAACTATTGGACAAGTAAAAGGTCAACAAATATATTTCACAGTGAATAATCCTTAACGTATCTAAATTATCTATCAATGTATTTGGATGGGAAATGGGGTCAAAATGTTCAAATACTGATAGATACTAGATAGAAGGCTAGCTAACTACGACTAATGAAAGCAGATCATATATTTAGTCTTTTATGAGAATAAAAAATTCTCTTTTTTTCTTCTTCTTTGGTCTTTTTCTTATTCTTTATATTTCATATCTTTTTTATCTGAATTAATAATTTTTTGTTTTTCTCCACCAATATCAAGACCAATTTTTTAATACAAAATTTAATATTTTTATTTTATTTTTATTTTTTTATTTTTATTTAAATAAACAAACCCAACAGCCAAAGGGCCATTAACAGGGTTAATAATACAACAGTTAGTATATAAAAAAAAACAATTTTTGATGTATAGCAAGATGACTTACAGTTAGCACAGTGATTTCATATTTAATAGAGTGTTAATATTAATATTGATTATAAAGGTACTTAATATATCTGTATTTATTATAAAAATTAATATTAATTATAAATTTAATAGATAGATTGCTAAATGAGTAGAGCATTGATGTGTTGGCAATTGCAAACAAAAACAAAAAATAAAAAATAATAGTGATTGATAGAATTAAAAAGAAAAAAAAATAATAATATTAATAATAAGAATAACAATAATTTTCATTATTATTATAAAAGTTGTAGCAATTGCACATAATTAACACCATTAAGTTGATAATTTGCCAAGTGATGCTGTTATACAGCTATTAAGTTAGTTTGACAGCACCAGATTTAAATAAATATATATAAAAAATATAAAATATAAATAAAAAACATTTGAAATATAAAAAATTCGTAATTTTCTGTTGGTCTAAAATATTTTAAATCTTTCTACACGTTTTAATTCCAGCTATTAAAATATGGAACGAATTATTAATAATTAAATAATGATTTTAAATCAGCGTTTAAAAATTCATTGTTTAAAAAAGATGAGGTGTTAAAATTAAATATTTAACAATTTTTACTAATATTTACTGGATCAGACTCACTATGTAATGTTCTATTTATTTATTTACAGCCCTCAGGGAACAATTTTTCCAGAGCCGTTAAACTCGATGAATAAATAATATGTTTTATAATGCAAAATATCTGTTAATATTTGGATGTAATTTTTCTTTTCAATTGTTATTAACATTTGTTAAAAATTATAATCCTCATTAATTAACAATAATAGTTATATAATTTTAGTTTGATACGATGATAGCCTGCACCAGGTGCTTCCCAGTAGTTTTCATTACGATCTATGGTAGGTGGTACCAACTAGGCCTCTTCCGGAAAGAACTATCAAACTCGTTAAAACTTGTGTTGCGTTACTGCCGTTTCAAATTAACAATGATGAGTCTCGAAAATTGCTCACCTCGTCAAACTCAGGATATTAATGTTTTATAATTTTAACTTAATTTCTCAGATTGCTTGATTTATTTTCAGTTTATATTTTTTTACTGAAAAACTTTAAACAGAATAAACAAATTTTATTATTTTTTACAAAATAAACAACTTTTATTATTTTTGTTTCAGAACTTAAAGAATCAAATCATGACTACCAATCTTTGGGTTGAACAGGTAAAACAATAATTTTTTTTTTCATTCTATTAAATTTTTTTAAGCTAAAAATGTTAAAAAATTAGAGACAAAAAAGTAGCAAGCTGGACTGAGAAAAAAAAACCAAAAAAGAAATTTCAGAAAACGTGCTGAGAGTAAATAAAAAAAGCAAATCAACGATGGGAAAAACCTAGTATTTGTTAAGCGTGTACATTCATTTTTTTTTTTTATATAAAAGCGTGAGTAGAAAAAAAATTGATAAAAATATAAATAAAAAAAAAAAAAGAGAGGGAGAAAATTATAATAGAATACAAATGAAATAGATGTTGTATCATCATTGTATCATGCCGTTAAGTTGAACTTTATTCGTTGAGTGCAGCTAAAGATTACGTTGCTAAATAAATAGACTCGCGTGCAGACAATCAGACGATCAAAGCTTAGTTTCGCTAGCTGTTTAAGTATATAACTATAATATATGTATATGAATTATCTTGCTATCTTTTTTTATAATATAAACTTGCTTGTGTAAGTACTTTTTTTTATTAATTAACCTGTCAGTTACAAATTACAATCAACAGTTTATCGGATTATATTTGTATGAAATTATTTTTTAATTAACAGCAAACATAGTACTTAATTAAATATTGTGACTTTTATTGAATGCTACCGGTCAATTAGTCCAATTGTCTGACTATCAGTAGACGTTACTACTATTTGGCTAATTGTTCTGTGAAGTAACTAATTATAAAGTTATTTTTCTGACTATGAAGTTACAAGTTTACTTTTTAATTAAAAAAATCTCTTTACAACTCGGGGAAAAAATAAAAAAAGTTCCTCAAGTTTCGATGGCGCTCTTCCTATTCATTTTATTTCTCGACCTGAAGAATCAAGTTTTAAATTTATGTGTTTGTCGTGGTTGTGATACAGACCGTATCTGTAATATTATATATATATATATATATATATATATGTATGTATAAAAAGGGATAAAGGGCAATACTCTACTACGTGAGCAGTTTCAAATGAGAACGTAGTTGTAAGCACATTTACTCTTCTATCCGTTACCAGATGGAAGAATAGGAGAATAGGAGAATAGGAGAATTGGAACGGTTTTTTTAGCCACGCGTTACTACTACTATTATATACTTTATTATATTGTACTGAACCATTATTTTGCATTACAGTACGTGATGCTTCTATAGTATATGGGTGTAATTTAGTATAGAGTGTTATCTAGGCTGATGATATCATCACGGGTACTCTATCACCAAATAAAATGCTTAGGTTTCTTCATTTTTTTTTTTATTAAAAACCTTTAAATTATTATTTATTATTATCATCTATATTACTATTATTATTATTATTATTACACAAAAAAAAAAAATTTACTTGAATTAAGTAAATAATTTTGAAGAACTTCATCTTCTTGATTTGAGTAGAAAAATTCTTAAGCTAAGAAAATTTTTCTTGATTTAAGTAAATTTTATTTGATTCAAAAATTTTTCATCTTGATTCAAGACAATGAAACTTTTCAAAATTATTTTCTTAGTTCAAGAATTTTTCTCTTGATTCAAATTTATTTTTTTTTCTGTGCATTATTATTATTATTATCTATATTAAGAGAATAAGCGAAATTTTGTGGTCAGTGTATTTATATAATAAAATGGGTTTTTATGGTTAAATTTAGTATCATCAGAAAGGTCTTGATAAGAGTTCGTGCCTTTTGGTTTTATATATTTTTTAGTAGTCAATTTTTTATGTCAAGTTTTTGAAGAAGTTTTTAATAGTTTTTTGGTTCTATAAATTTGTTCAATCACATTTGTCCATTACATTATTTGTAATTGATCCTGTGATAGCAATATTATTTTCAAAATTTATTTAAAAAGTACCCAAACTATGTACAGTGTGATTATAAATACAAAAAATCATTAAGCCAAAGTTTTGCTATTTATAATTCGTAAATCTCGGCAGTCGCATAGTGACTGTAGGTTCCTAGTTATTATTATTATTTCCTTTATAATTTATCAAAACTCTCTATAAAAGAAAACAATTATTTAAATAATATAAAAAGCAAAATCAATTCATTGGAATTCTTACAAAGGGTGTGTGATTATCTAAGTAGAATAAGAAAGGAAAAAAAATAAAGGTAATGAAAGTAATAAATGCTGAGTGAATATTTACGTGCTGGGGAATAGTTAGGAATAGCAGGGATATTGTTGGTATCTGACGAGTCTCTTGAGATTTTCAGTGAATGCCTGTGCCGGTGATGAAGGCTTAACAGCTATAACTGTTGGCTGTTGGCTGTTGGCTTAATATCTAGATAGTAGTGTAATCATTACTTGTAACTTGCACGTACATAGAAAATACCCCTAGAGCTTCCTCTTTCTAATGCAAGAGAGTATCTGAGGAAACTAGGGCTTTTCCTCCTCTACTGATATGTTACTCACCGCGGTCACGTTATATATGTCTAGACATACCGATTAAAGCGAAGATAACGGTAGAAGCAATGCCAGGAGTTAAGGCAAAAAAGTAAAAAGTAAGAAGAAAAATAGTCTAATATAAAAATATAAAAATTTTTTATTAATAATTAAATTTGGGAACAATTTAAAAATTTTTTACAAATTTTTCTTTTTTATAATCTCAGACAGCTTAAAAAAATTAATAGAGTATAAGTTTAAGGACTCGACAGTTGGTCGAATTTATTCAAATATTTAAACATATGTGAAAGGTTATATTGTTACCGGTTCGATGAATTTTTTATATCGATTCGACTGAAAACTTAGCTAATAAAATCTGTATTTTTTTTTTCATATACTAAAAAAATTTTTTAAATAATCTATTTATACATTTTATTTATTTTTATTGGTTGTTCAAGTCATGGTACGACTACAAACTGCGATGGGAGCCGAAGGAGTACGGAGGTGTGCATATGTTACACGTCCCTTCTGATCATATTTGGCGGCCTGACATAGTGCTTTACAATAAGTAAGTTTTATAAATTTATTTTTATTTTTTTTATGATATCACATCTAGTCAATCGTTGAGTTGACTTTTTTGTAATATCGTACAAATTAATACAATTTAGTGGCATAGCATGTTGCCGATAAAGGAACGCTTTTAACAACTTAACACTCGTTTCATTTTTATTTTTTTTTCGAATTATTAAAACGAGTGTCCAGTTGTTGACAATAAGACAAAAAAAAAATGTTTTCTTTTTGTGATAAATTTTTAAAAAATTCAACGGAAACTTTTTTTTGACAAATATATTAATTAAAAAAGTTACGAAAAAATATAGGACAAATATTTTGCTTATATTTATTTATATAGATCCTTTTATAAATAAAAATTTTATTTATCGACGGAATATTCCCTTGATAAATTGCCGTCATATTTGCGTAACTTTTTTATATTTATTACTTTCGGTTATAAAAAAAAATAATATTTAATACTTTTGCTTACGCCCCGAGGCTAAAATCATTTATAAATCTTGAGACTTATTGTTAATACTTTTTTAAATTGGTAATTATTGCTTTAAATAATGTTTACTCTCTATAACGCGATTTTTTTAATATTATTATAAATTATAAATTTTATAACAATTAAAAATTTAATCATAGCGTAAAAAAAAGTATTAACAAGAACATTTCAAGTTTAAAATCTGTGAATTTATTGATTCATTTAATTTCAATAAAAATTAATTATAATTTCATAAACATTCTATCAAAAAAATCATTAACCATAAGATCATGTAGAGAAAATAGAGATAGATTATTCATATCGCATGATATACTGGCGCTGCGGCGAGTATTTTATGCCGATTTACAGAAAAAATAAAAAAAAAAACAAAAGTGAATTAAACAAAATAATGAAATAATATTTCAAAGAAGATAATTAAGGTGAAAAAATAAAGAAGAAATATCAATATTTATAAAATTAATGACTACGCCTCGTTCGAAGTTAAACAAAATATAAATTTGGAACTTTTAAAATATTCGAAACTTTAACAGCAATATTTAGTGAACGAAATTTTTTATTTATTAAATTTTATTGACTACATTTTTTTTTTATACACCTAATGGAAATTTTTTCTGAATTTTTTTATTCGCACGTGCAGACGTACATTGGTTTTGATTATATATAACATATATGACACATTCACTCATCGCTAGAATGATCAAGTAAACGAATGTATATATACAAAGAGAGAGTTAGCGATGGGATGTGATGAGAGAATAGTGCGATAAATGGCGGTCATGTTGCTGTTTGTTCACGCATACTTTCGATTCATCCCTTTTGTAAATAATACGCCCACTTATGACGCTATTGTATATTGTCAATCGCAACCAATATTCCATCCAATCCAATTACATTACATATATTATGTTTACTCTATTCCAAGTGATTGGTAATTTATTTTTTTGACATTTTTTCCGCTGTGATAAAATAGATTTTGCTAAAAGAATTATTTTACTTTTTCGTTTGTTTGTCCAGAGAGCTGTGAATTTTTTGCCTTCAATTTTGTAGCTTGTAGCTTCCCAGCTTTTTTTTTTATAGTTTTTTGGTATAACAGTAACCTGTCAAGTCACTTACTTTATTTTTTTTCCTCTCGCTTGTCTTTACTTTGTTTTTCCGAAGTTTCATTAATTTTTTTTTTCAACTCAATCTCACTTTCTTAACTTATTATGTCTGTCGTCTTAGAATGCTATAAAAATGAAATTTATCATCTCTTTTGACGTCTTTGTATAAATAAAACTAGCAACCTTGCAGTTACTATGTAAATGCCATGACTTGTGAACTATAAATAAATAAAATTTTGCTTTATTAAATAATGAATTTTGTTAAATTGTACTGTACTTTCTTGAATATTAATGCTTTTAAAGATATAAGCTCATCGCGATGTTACACTTATCAAGAGCTTTCATTTGAGTACCCACATGCATTTTGATATATTTTTCATATATACGTATATATAATATATATAAATATATGAAAAATTGATGTGGGTACTCAAATGAAAGGTCTCGATGAGTGTAACGTCGGGGTGAGCTTATATCTTTAAAAATGTCAAGAATTTACTAGATACAAGGTAATTTTTTTAATTATGTATCTAGAGACAGAGCATTTTCGAATGCAGCTTAAATACTTATCATAATAAATTGACTATCGGTGAGAATGATATGAAACCTTGAAAAGTCACAAATTCAAATCAAGACTTTTGCAATAACATTAAATTTCACTAGAAAAAAAAAATCGATTTTATCATATGACTATCCTGGACACAAAATTTTTCTTATTCTCTTAATAATATAGATTATTATTATTCCATTTAATTTACTTAAAATATTTTGAAGCTAACAAGTCAATAATTTGGCAAGGAATTCAGATAAAATAATTGTACTTGGTTGCGAAGTCAATGTTAATGAAGCAAATAGTTGAATTTCTGAAATAGTAATTTCTGTATTGCATTGAGTGGTGACCATTGGATGACATTCTAGGTTGCATTGCTATTCACAATACAATATTAGCTTCAGTCTAATCTAAGATATTTCAAACATGGCAACATTTCTCTTGGACACGCATACTGACAGTGACATTAATACCAGAAGGAGTAAAGAGATAAATAGTTATTCAATTATCTATCTCTTACTCTCCCTTTTATCATTCTCAGTAAAATAGTTTAAATCCATTGGATAGTCAGTAGTATAGCTTAGATATGGTCTTTCGGAGATTTCGTATTCCCTACTCTGTATTCTGGATCCCATTCGACCGATTGATAGACGCTACGTGCCGGTGTGACAGGAACATCTGATAATTCTTCGTTTAATTTTCCAAGAGCTGTAATTTGTTTAAATTAAAACTTTAATATTATTTAATTTACCGTATTAATTTACTTCAACAACTTTTCATTTAATTAAATTATTCAACACGGAAAAAAGAAGAAATATTAATTATTAGGGTAAAAATAGGTCCCTAGTAGAAAAAACTGCAAGTATTACACTTGATACTGTTTCAAATTGTAATTATTACAGATTTTGTAAGAATTACAATGTAAAATCTAAATATTACATTGAAAGCTCTGAAAATTAACATTCAAAATTTGAATTTATAAAAATGTCATTTCGAACTTCAATTTTTCTAATTTATTATATAAAGCAACGTTTACTACTATTTATAATATAATTTTTCTCTTTTTCTTTTTTTTTGCGTAAATGTGAAAAAGAAATTTAAAGGTTTAAACGTTTTACTATTATAAACTAAAAAAAATGTTAAGTGAAACTGTAATAGTTGGTATTATATCTCAGAAATAATGTAATTTTTACAATTTCCCACTAGAAGTACTTGGCTGGTATTTAAAACTCTAATAAATCCTATTTATAAATTTAATTTTTCCACTTATCTTTTTTCCTTGTAAATTAACTAAAAATCCAAGTATTATATTTTTATTATTTTTATCCATAATTAATATTCATTCACTAAATTAAAAATTGAACGTTAACGTTTGGAACTATTATTTTGTGGTTTAATGTTTATTAAATAGAACGATATACGGAAAAGCACTATATCACTCTATCATACTCTGCAAAACAAAGAGCTTTATACCAACTATGTACATTGTTTCGCGAGGCGTAGTCAATAACAAACGTTATAGTTAGTACTAAAAAGCGGTAGATAAGCCAAGTCGTTATTAGTCTCATCGTTATTCCTGTGTTTTATCCTTGTTATTAATAATATTGTTGTTTTTGTTGCTGTTGGTGTTATTCTTGTTGTTAATGTTATTATTATTATTTTTATTTCGTTATTATTATCATCATCATTAAAGACAAAATACAGTAGTAAAAAATAAAAAAATCGGCTTGTTAATCTCGCTCCATTAAAACTCTCTCTGTTTCTTTTTCTTGATAGTATTGGTCACTTAAATTTTGATATATGAAATCTAAAAATATTATCTACAGTAATAAATTCAAGTAAATAATTAAATAAAAATAAATGAAACGATATTAGAAAAATATATTTGAACAAAAAAAGAAAAAAAAAATCGTGGGCTTTTGATATTGAATCGTAAGTACAAAGTAAGCTCGACCGCCGCAGCGCCCAGAACCACTAATGTGCTCGCTCGCAGCGCGGACGGAAACTTCGAGGTGACCTTGGCCACCAAGGCCACAATCTACCACCAGGGATTGGTCGAATGGAAGCCACCGGCAATATATAAATCCTCCTGTGAAATAGACGTCGAGTACTTCCCCTTCGATGAGCAGACCTGCGTCCTCAAGTTTGGTTCGTGGACCTATGATGGCTTCAAGGTAAATTTGCATGGTAGCCAATAAGTTATATAAACTATCTATATTATTTTTGTCCCCATATTTTTTTCAAGAGCGCGCATTTGTGCTTTTGAAATTCCTACGAGTGAATTTTTTTTTTTTTATTTTTTTTTGAAGGACCTCAAGCGCGAGGACGATCAGGTTGTTGTAATTTTTTTCTTCTCTCTTGCAATAATAAATTTTATAAAAATTATTATTATTATTAAAAATTTATCGATGCGTGGTAAAGTTTACCAACAGCCTGGTCGTAAAAAGATATTTCAGGACGAATGGAGATCATCGGGGTTGTGTTGTTCGGTGATTGCAGCGCTGATGGCAACTATGAAGTGACACTGATGACCAAGGCAACAGTATACTATTCCGGACTGGTTGTATGGCAACCTCCAGCTGTTTATAAATCCTCCTGCTCCATCGATGTTGAGTTCTTTCCGTACGACGTACAGACCTGTGTTTTGAAGTTAGGCTCCTGGACGTATGACGGTTTTAAGGTGCCGATAATAAATTATTGTCGCAGACGATTAAATAAAAAAAAAATAGAGAGCAATAATTCAACAATCATTTTTTTATCGACACGATTGCTAATTTGTTGACTAAGTTCATTTTTGTTTTTACGTGACATGTGGTTTTTTTTTTTTTTTTTTTTTTTGTTGAAATGAGTTTGTTTAGGAATGCCAAAGTGATCGCCATCGTTTGTTATTTAAATAAATAATATCAAACTAAAAAAATCTCAGATTGCGCTGTTGGACGTGACAATTTTTTTTTTAAGTACAGTATTTTAATAGTTGATTTTTTTTATAGACTTTTTCCAAAAATTTTTAGCTGTATTTTCAGAGTGTATGAAATAATTACTGAATTAATAAATGGTTATTGGATTTATTAAAATGCGTGGGAAAGGTATAAAATCATACGAGGACATGCATACCGATAAAACAATAAATAAAATAAATGAAATATATTTATGTATAACAACGCAAAATGACGTTATATGATTTGATATCTCGATTGAAGGAAAATCAATTGAAATAGAAGGATCACATTTGAACAGTGATTAAGTACCACTAAATTTATTAGAGTCCCCACGACTGATTGACTGATCGAATGATCGACTGATTAACTCTATATTGGTTATTGACTATCGAATTCTACGTTCTCTAGACTCTTGCCCTCTCTATGGTCATGTTATGATATTTAAGTGGGTTTAAGCGATACCAAATTAATATAATTAATTACATTACATAACATAATTATCATTAGTATCGTTACTAATGAAATTTTGACGCTACCAAACACTTTTCAAGTTCAAAATTATCCACATTATATTTGGTTTATTAAATTTTATTTATTTACTTTACAAATACTAACATTATTAAGGGGGAACATCCCCCCCTATTTCGGGAATTTTTTTGACAGGAAAAATAAAGGAATTTGGGGATCGGATTTTTTTTATTTTATTAAAGCTACATTAAAGATTATCACCCCAAATTTTTATTAAAAAATATTTAATTATTATAAAGTTATTAACAATCTCGTAGAGCACTAGAAAAAATTTCCCCCTCCATCGTCGTATCGATAACTCAAAAACGGATCATCTGAAAATAAAAACCCAAATTGCTTTTTAATTAGTAAGGATGTAGTTATTGTTGCACGTACGGAATTTAAAAAATTTTGATTTTAAAGATTTTTTAAGCTGGGTTAAAATAAAAATAAAAAACAGTAAGAATAATGAGAAAATTTTCTATCAGTCAGCATTTTTTTGAAAATTAAAATTTTCAAAATTCTGCACGTGCAGATTGTTAATAATTTTGTAATAATAAAATATTTTTTAATAAAAATTTAGGGTAATAACCTTTAATATACCCTTAATAAAATGAAAAAAATTCGATCTCTCTTTTTTTCGACCCTCACAGTGGTGTTTCCTCTTAAATAAACATAAAACCTAATGGATATTAGTTATAAAGGAATATTAATATTTCATAATAGATAGGTATATTTATTTTTATAAGGAAAATTTGAATTGGTTTAACAATTAGGGTTTTACCACAATTAAGTACATGAGAAGGGTTATGGATATATATAACTATAACTTGTATCGAGGACTAGAGACCATTAATTAAGTTTTCCTTTCCATCAGGGAATTATCAAACTGCCGTTTATTAAGATAGTAAGATCGTAACCACCACTTGATAATTAACTGTTTTAATGAATATAATAATAATAATAAAGACATCAGGTGTCAAATAATTAAATGCCTCTACTATTTTATTCTTCCGTTATATTACGTGTCACTTCTCATTGTTATTGTTCCTTTTACAGTATTTATAGTATTATTATACTAGCAGAGAATTTACTAACTGTGGAACAGGCGCACCATTTGCATTTGCATTTTACCAATTCCCAGAGGCTCGTGACTGGTCTACCGCGTTTTACTTCCTCTATTCTCTTTACCGTATTTTTTTTATTTAATATTTTTTTCTCACTTTTCAATTTTATTTATTTTTTATATCTTATGTATCCACTCAGTATGCACTGAATACTAAATTTTAGGATTCTGCAACATGTACCAAAGATTTTTATCTTTACATGAAACTTTAACGCAACATATATATTCTTTAAAATGTCTTTTAGTTTATTTTAAGTGCATAAAATATATATCATATATTATATCATAAGAAGATTTGTAAAATTTTAAATATGTAAGGAAAAACTGTATCCGCTAGTAGAGATTAGTGTATTATATATTCATATAAATAAATATAGTAGAGTATATATATATATATTGTAAAGAAAAGAGAGACAATATCTAATGGAATATTGCGGTTGTGAATAGGTATTGGATGTCTGCTTCGTCCTGTTTCGCAATATGCATGCCAATGTCACTTGCCAGTTGATAAAATAAAGGGTATATAAGGGCTTGAATAAAAAATATTTAATTACAATTTTTTTTCTTTTATCAGCTTAAATCCAATAATAAAAATTTTTCTTTGGAATCTAATTACAAATGGGTCCATGCCAAATCACTTGATTTTAAAAATCATATTTTTTTATCTGGTTGCATTTTTTATATGTTTTTGTACATATACAAAGTTTACAAAATATAAAAAGACACTTATTCCTAAATTTTGAGCTCTTAATTTTCAAAAATCTTGGAGTTATAAATTTTTCAAAATCGCGAAAAAATAACAATGAGGTACACTGATAGAAGAATTTGTTTATAGTTAAAATACTAAGAAATATTTGTTTAATACTAAAAAGTGGTCTCTAATAAATGATTTGTTAACTATTAACAAATATTTTTTGGTACAAATAAATCCTTCTATCAGTTTAATTTTCAGAAATTCATAACGCCTGATTAAATTATCGTAATTTCATTTTGCCAGTGGCTTTTTTTTCATTTTTAAATTTGGTTTTCGAAAAAAAATTTCTTTCTTTTTCACCGTTTTTTCTTACATTTTAACTCAAATTTTGACTTTTTTTGAAGACCGACATTTTTAATTTTCTTGAAGAAAATATTATGTTTCACTAGACTGTAAAAAAAATTTTTTAAGACCTTTATCAAAGTGGAATTCAAATATCTGCGATTTTTTAAGCAACTTTTTCGCATTTTCTAAATCAAAAATTCAAGTTTTTTGAAGATTTTTCAATTTTTCAATTTTTCACCAAAATTTCAATATAAATATTTTCCTAACGTGCCAATTATATAAATTGAAAACTTTTATTGATACATTTCGACAAAAATTTTTTCATTATTTATTTTATAGTTAAGGACTCAAAATTTAGGTTTAGGTGTCTTTTTATATGTACAAAAACAAATAAAAAATTCAACCAGATCAAAAAATATGATTTTTATAATCAGATTATTTGCTATGGAATGACCCATATATATAAAATATATTCTAATTTTTCTCGGTTACGGTTTGATCGATTATATTAAAATTTAATCGTGAATAAATAAAATTGATGTTACATAAATTGTTTTTATTATAAAGATAAAATTTTCTAGATAAAGTATGTGTATATAGATAACTGCAGAGCCAATCGAATAAAAATTATCTATATAGACAGTATTGCCAGATGGTAGACACCACGGTTGAAGTTTAAAATGTGGAAAATAATCCAATGACGCATCGATATCAGTATCACAATCCGATGTGCCAGTCAACTGGCTGTATAATCAGAGCTTTAATTAACTTTTATTCAAACACACATTACAGTCAAAATAATTGCAAACGCTTAAAAAACTAGTTATTTATTTATAATTATTTTTTTAAATGTTTCTCTCATTTGAAAAAATATACATTGACTTTATTAACTCTGAAAAATTTAATATTAATGTAAATTACATTTCAAGCGTCTTAACTTTAGTATCAACGACACTAAAATTTTTTAAGACCACACATGCGCATTAAACTAAGCGGCTTGCGCATGTGTTGATCAATTATGCATGTCCGCTATGGAGTAATCAATATATATATCGATACCCATGTTCTAAGATGTAACCCATATTTAGAAAATTTCACAGCCGAGCATAAAAATGATCTTTAAAATTAAAAATAATATTCAAAAAATTTGACCTTTCAATTTTTAATTGCGGAACAATAAAAAAAATATTACTTAAAATAATAATAATAGTAAAAAGTAAACTGATAAAATTAGCAGTGAGACTGTTGAGATAAATTTTAAATGAGGTCTTTTACCCCATCTAAATACAATTTACATCAATATCAATTCTATTGGACTTTAAAATTTCATTAATTATTTTTTCATTAGTATGAATAAAATATGAATCATAAAATTAAATGTTAATTTAATCGACCAACTGAGTGACTGAGAAATTAAACGGTAAAAAAAAAATTATTTTATTACACAGGTATTTATTATGATCGTCATTTTGCGAGAGAAGCTAACTTAATAAAGTTTAAACTTTGAAATCAGTACTAATAAATTAACAGAGCTGAATAATAAAATAAATTAAATCAGATTATTTTGGCAACAACTCTTAGAGAATACTTAACAATCCAAAGTGTAGTTTATCAACTGAGAGAAAACTTTTTGTTCATAGTTAGCATAGTCGTTTACGAAATTTACAACAAAAACAACAACAACAATAACAAAAACAACGAAAACAAATAAACAAGTTATTAAATTTATTTT